TTTTTCTTACTCAGAACCTACTTTCTTTCACTCTACTCAGTATCACTCCTTTGCTCCATTTGTGCTCTCGTTCTCACATTCTCTTATGGTATTTCGTTTCTATCGTCATTCTTTACATTCCTTCACTTAAACGCTTTTATCACAGACATCATATTGCATTGTGTATCAATTTTCCAAGAACTCGGTTGATATTTATTTTACAACGTCCTCCTCATCTCATCTGGAGCATCTCATCCCACTGCCTCGGTCTAAGATCCACCCCTCATATAATGCCTATCCCGATCATCATAATTCGCGAAATTCACTTTTACTCCTCATTGAATCAATCGTAATCTCTTGACACGAGTTCTCACCTTTGTTTTGTTTACATTGACACAATACTCACTCACTTTCATACAACCACCACGATACCCTACGACCACCACTACCGTGCTTGCGAATCAAAATCTACCTCACCAAATAGCTATATCGATAGCTCAAAAATCCCACCTTTCAATCCAAGAAATTGAACCATTTGCGAAAGGTCGAATCTCGGCCCAATTGAGCTCGCCGAGTCACGATTTGAAGATCTGATTTCAAGCCTGGTCCCGGACAGGAGGACCAGCCACTCCCCGCAATGTCAGTAATTCTAGGAATTGGTTCTCTAGGAGACAAGGATAGCAATGGCGAATCATCACTATCATCCAACACACTCAGTCGCCGCATTCGTCCACCACCAATAAATACAAGTAGCTTGGAGGAAGGCAGAGTTCCATTGAGATGTCCAAAAATCCAAAGAAAGGAGTCCAAAGGTGGTCTTCGAGGAATGTTCTCTCGCAATAAACCCGAGAAGAATGTGGTGTCGCCAGTTCCTGAAGGAAATAAATCGGCTTCACCACTCACATCACCAACCCCGCTTTCACCAAAGCTAATGAGTCCCATCACAAGTCCTGTAGGAGACGGTTTCTTTCGAAAGTTTGGTGCCGGTAATACAACTGATTTAACCTCCCCAACCACACCTGCTACACCAGGAAATACCACCGGGACTCCATCGCGTCTGAATCTCAGATCAAAATCAGCCAAGGATAGCAAAACTGCCGCCAAACCTGCACCAAAAACAAGCCCAAAAGCAACAGTGTTTGATCCACCACCGTTATTCCAAAGTTACCCTCAATCTGTGAAGCATGCTCGTCTCTCCGCCTCAACCTTATCAGCAGATGCAATTATCCGCATGTCTAATCACAAAAGGAATATCAGTCTCCGGGACGAAATAGCACAAACAACCGAGACAGGGCCAGATGAGAAGAAGACAGTAATCAAACATGACAGACGACGATCAGGTTCAATATCGAAAGGTGAATGGACTCAAAAGATTTTCGTTTTAGTAACTTCTGGCTACCTTCTACAATACTCGGGTGATGGGAATTTTGACCGACTACCTGAAAAAATGATTCAGTTAGGCAAGGAGTCTGTAGCTTTTGCATCAGATGTTATTCCAGGAAAACATTGGGTATTACAAGTATCTCAATCAATGAGTGCAGATGGAGTCCCAACTTCAGATTCTAGGTCTTTATTATCAAGACTTGCGTTCAGAAGTGCAGATTATAGGAGAAACGCTACTAGCCTTTTACTTGTCTTGGACAGTGCTGAAGAAATGGATTCTTGGATTGCTGTATTAAGGAAAGAAATTGAAACCCTTGGAGGCAAAAAACAAATTACAGAAATTGGAACTGTGAAGACAGATGAGAAAACACCAGAGTTGAAGAGTCAACCAAGTCATCGATATCTTGTCCAAAGAAGAGGCTCGGATCAAGTTTCTAACCCTTGCTCACCACCTCAAAATCCCTATGATCGCCGTCCATCGTGGCAGCAACAAGAAGGGCAAATTATTGGAGAGTTAGCTTTACCTTGGTCAACTCCTCGTGAGCGCCGTGCCTCCTGGCAGAAACCAGAAGGACAGAACATTGACAAAACATCCCCAACTGGCTTCCTTCCACCTTGGTCACTAAACGAAGCACAAAATGAAGCTTCGATCAGACCATTAACCGGATGTGGATCGGTGACGAATAGTGCTAGTTCATATGAACAGAATTTGGAAGGTTTGAGGGATAGTATCAACAGATTATCCTATTGCTCATCCGATCAACGAACTCGCATTTCATCTCCAGCAACGTCGCCAGCTCGAGATAGTACATCTACCATGGAAGATTTACCACCTTTGTCCTTGGAGACAGTACGAGTGAGGCCAAATGCTGCGGATATTGTTGAACGTAGAAGATCACTACAAGCACTTCAAGGGTCACGGGATCCTATACCTCAGATATCACCTCACCTTCAGACTCCTCAACAAACTTTGCGACACTCAAATTATGGTACATCTACCCGAGTTATGAGAAGCCCATCACCTGCAACTCCAAATTTCAGTGTACCTGTTTCTTCAAGCAAGAGGTTTTCGACTAGGAGCCCAGTTCCTGAAAGGCGACCATCACTTCCTGCAATGAATACAACTGTGGATGCTGAAAAGAGAAGCAAGAAGGGACCTCCAACGGCACTTTCTGTGGCTCGACCGCTATCCCCTGTCATGGACACAACATCACCAAAACGAGTTCCAATACCTGTTACGTCCATGGAAACGTCACATCGGCCAGTTGCACTGAATAAATCATCGACCGTTGATACTCGACCACGTTTCCCAGGAAAGTCTCCTATTAAAAAGCGACAAAGCAAAGAATTAAGATCCACTCGACGTGTCTCGAGTTTCATGCCATCGAATAATGCATTAGAAGTTCGGAATAAAGATTTGCGTCGTCATTCAAGCATGCAAGCAGTTGGTCAAACCACGTCACCTCTAGAATCAAATGGATCATGTGCATCCAAATTTCCTGAACCACTTTCACCAAAATTGACTCATGATGAATCCTTCGAAAATATAAGAGAAAGTGACTGCGATTCATTACCAACTCTTCAAGAATCTTCACTTCAAGCTCAACCATTACCAACACTTCCTGAGATTCCCATCAAACAAAATCCACAGCGTCGACCAAGAAGTATGCTCGCCTCTTCTGGCCACCAATCAACCATAGTTGAAGATTTATCCAATACCCCACGTCGCAAGCGGCCTTCTTCTCTCGCTCCTACGACTCTGTCTCCTACCCTTATTTACAAAGCAAGTCACTCTGATTTGGGACCACCAAGATTTCGATCGGGAAGATCTGTTTCGAGCAAAAGAAGTCTGCCGGCTCTTATGCATGGTGCTCCCCCAGCTCCCCCTCCGGATTGTGCTTTACCTCCTTTACCTCCTGGAAGTGCTACGACTACAAGTCGGAAAAGCCCGAGTGCTCTTGTGAATTCGAGAAGGGAGATTGGAGTCAGGGTTTGAGATTGTATCTTTCTTTTCAAAGTTCTTCTCAATCCATGAATGGGATGCACTGAGAATTTTCATTCTTATTACAACGTTCATGATACCAATTTTTCTCTTTTTTACCTTGTACATTCATTTTCTTTTTACCTTCACCCTTTCTTTACTGTATTATATTTCATTTATACCATTCACGTTCACGACATAAACATGGCGCAGTACGACAGGCTCTTTCTGCGTCTTTCTTTTCCAACATACATTCTCATGATTAATACTTAGATAACTACATTCACATACAAACGAAGAAGACGAGGATTTTACGCTATGTACTATTATGTATTTTAGGATTAGATGAGCCGGAGCGGCTTGGTTTGGTTTGGCGAATAGGGGATTATGGATTTGATTCCCCATCTAATCTTGATGATTTCGAAAGGTTATGCGGAGTGGCACAGGGCTTTTGAGATATTTAATGAGGATTATGATGAGGTTTGTGGTTGAGGTTGCGGGCAGGTGAAGGGTGAAAGGTGGAAGGTGGCTAGGAAATTTTATATGTATTATGAAACGAGATAAGATGAAATAGGAAGGGAATTAAACCATGGAAATTCTGTTCTAAAATTATATTTTTTTCTTGTGAGACTAGCTGATGAAGATCATGACAGGCAGAAAATTAATTCTTATGTATACCGGTATTAGCCAAGATAAACATTGATTTTTTCTTCTTTTGACGATGAATATTCTCGGCGACCTCTATAATAGCCCTTAGTAATTACGGTAGAGATCGAGAGCTGCCGAATTGGTTCGTGGCTGCTTCGAGGAGGAAATTACTTATAGATGCGGGATAATTATATGTTGTACAAATGGAACGGGGTGGTGCATAGTGCTTTGGTTTGATTTGACGATATGGATATGGATTGTTATGGTATATATGTTGAGAATGGATGGTTGGGCTATTTTGGGTATTGGGTGGCTGGATGTTACTATGTTGATTGATTGATTGATTAAATTAACGTCTACCCAATACTAATAAACCCAATTCAAATATATTCGCATACGACTGAGTATATGCTGTTTTATTGGCCGAGCCGTTCCACTTCCGGGGTGAATTAACAAACATCTATAACTAAGTAACATAGTAACATATTTGTAGAGCGGGATTATTCCTTAGGATTAGTTTTCACTTCCTCCATTCAACTCAAAAGATTGAGTTTATCTCAATCATTTAAACTATGTATTTAGCCAGGCCTATAAGTCAGCTTACCCTTATTATGTTATCTGTTAGGGGTTCGTAAGAGCCTCTAGTCGTCTTAGATAGTCTTAGACTCAGTTATTAAATTACTTGAGTATGAAGTTGCATGAACTATGGGCGATACTAAACCCCATATCTAGATCTGTGGGTTGATACCAATAAGTCACCTACCCGTACCGGCAAAACAGAATCGGGTATTAGTTCTAGGGAGTCCGTGTATATTGGATAGCTCGGCTTCTAGTCTTTGATTGTGATGGGTTCTTTGTGGAGTTGTGGCTTTGTATCTAATAGTCATGTTCTAGAACAGAGGGTTGGGAGTTTTCGAATTATGTGCTATGGGCATTCACTTGCATGCATTCCTTTCCAAAACAATATATTTCTTCCCGCACCATCCTCATCCATCAAATAGCCACAATAGGTCGCTTAGCTCAGCTGGTTAGAGCGTGGTGCTAATATCTTCTCTGTTAAATCAGTAAGATCTCAACGCCAAGGTCGCGAGTTCGATCCTCGTAGTGATCAATAACTTTTTACCCGTTTACAAGCTTCATTTTGCTGTAAATATCATCGCGAATAGTTGAGAATTGATGGAGTGGTGATAAATTGAAGTTTTGGTGTTCGGGTAGCGAGTGGGATAAGGGGCTGCTGCTTTTAGTGGGAAGGAAAGAGTGGTGGGGTGGGGTTTGCTCTTTCTGTTTTGGGTGGGAGTTGGGATTGTGATGCGTGGGATTGATGGGACGGAATTCGAGATTGAGTATGATTGATGTATTATTTGGGCATCATTTTGTTTTGGGGATAGATGGCTTTAATTTATTTAACAATGATTTCTTAATTTTGGTACGATGCTGTTATAAATTTTTTGTTATTGATACTAGAGCGCTCCCAGATGTAAAAGTGGCCAGATATTTATTTAACCAACACACCACCCCACAAGAATTTGCAGAATGAAGCATCAATATCACAATCTAATTCCAAGGTTACATGTTGAGAACTGTTCGTTGCCCGATCTGATGGCAGGTTACTTTGTTGAATACCTTCATCAACTCTACCTGGAGAATCTTTGATTTACTCATCACTAACTGCAGGAAAATTGGAAAATTGGAACATTGAAATGAATTATGTTTTAATTGTCCAAAAGTAAATTTCAAGCCGATTTCATACTGTGAAAGAGGTAGATCGAGATACATGCATCCCGATAATACACTGCGAGGGGGAATAGGAATACAAATTGATCAGATTATATTGTAGAGGTTTCAAATAATAAAACTAATAGAATTAACAATAGATTTGAATTATATACAATAGATATACAAAAAAACTAATAAAAAACAATTAATTATTTAAAAAAAAACCTAAACTCTTTCCTTATATTTAACTACAAAGGATTATATGATCTATTGTCTATAAACTAGCTACATATATGGCTTTAATAATCCAACTTTCTCATAATACCTTTAAGAGACACTCAGCATTTGGCATCTCTTTTTCTGGAAGCGTGTCTTTCAAGAATCAAGCCCGAGAACATTTTTGATGGCTATAGTTAGCCATCAATCAACACTCGTCTGGCGTATTCAATGCAGAGCGCATCGTTGTTCGCTCCACTCGAATTAATTCGACTCCCTGCGAGATTTTTGGCAGAGGAAATCGATCAAATGGCCGTAATCAGCACTGCGTACTTTATTTGCCAGTGGCAAAAGAATGTATTTAGTACCATTAGTCGTGATGGCGCGGGCTCATTGGAAACGAAGAAGCTCAACTGAAGACCGATCACTTACAGAGTTCTGGTCCTAGAAAAATATCTGTACAGAAACAAATATTTTTGGACACTACGATACAGATCATTGAGGATATCGCGATTATTGTTCTTGCATCCATATTAGACGCTAGATATCTTAGTACTCCTATTTCCACGTGTCTCAGAAACACATCACATCCATCATCCGCACTGTCTTCTCATCGCAATGGTCATCCCTCCATGTGATATAAATTTTTGGCCGCAAATCTGATGACTACCGCTGAAAATACAAACAGTATAAATTTAGTGTTACAAACCTTTTTAACTTGGCTCTATAGACATGTGTAGCTTCTGAATTTTGGCTTCCGAACTTTGAGGCTTGCTTGTACGACTTTCTATTCGATAAAATCGGCCATATAGACTATCATGTGCGTCATCGTTTGGTTGTCATTTCTCCTCTTCATACTATATATTGAGCTGGTCTCGACTGAATGTCTGAATGGGCGTGCTGCATCTACCATCAGTACGAAATTCCATTTGCATACAGAGTTATATATTGCGATGTGTCAGATATAAACCACTAGCCATTACGTATTTGGTGTGCCTCTGGTGAACGACAAACATTGGCAGAAACTACATAAACCTTCAGTCGGACTTCTGTCCGATCCCACAAGCACTACATGTCACTCGCCAGTGCAGTGCTATCTTTGGGAGGATTTTCGAATGGTAGAAGAGGGTGGGGATATTGAGATATTCGATGGACAAGCATACGTTACGGTCGGCCAGCGAAGGATAGTGAAATTGGGGTGAAAGAATCTTGGCTGATAATTTACTTCTCCATTTCGTGAAAGGCACCATCATGGCGATTGGCGCTGCAATTTCGAATCGAGCACTTCATGCAGTTACGGAATCGGCCACCCCACTGTATCACAGTATAATTACAGTAATACAATCATATCAAAGCCAGCTACACAACAGCATCTACCAAAATATTTCCCGAAACCAAGCTGGGATTTCCACTGCCCTGGCAGCCATCGCATAAACTCTATATGTGGTGCTCTCTTGGTGCTATGTGCATTCCCAAGATTGGGTCGTGCTATCCGTCGGCCGTCCGTCGATGACTCTCACGAGAGCGGTTATTTGTTCAGTGGCCGTGCGGGGTAATGTGACGTTATTCGTAAACAATGCGGGCAGCAATCTTGGCTGATGAATTGTTACACAATGATATCTCTCCAGTTCGTGGTTGCAGAACCACCCGGGCTTTCCGATATTGCGGACTAAAAATCAACGCCAAAATTTCGATGACCTGCAGATTATCAAATGTACTGTAGCTCGATATTACGAGTTGATTGTATTCTTCCGAATGGAACCAGCAAATAGCATTTGACTAGAGGATCAAAATCCTTGAATGCATTGCCAAACTGCAACCCCGTCTGGTCCTTGGGGCTAATTTGATCCTCAGTTCGATGCTGGTACTCTATGTGCAAGACTTGAGCATTTTATATCTTCAGGGTAATTCTTTTGAATGGAACTGCGAGAGAATCTTTAGTGTCAAACCTAGGGTTGTGTTTACAGAATTAAGTTTTCAGCTCCATTCTATTCGCTGGTGACGGAATATCCTAACGTATAGGGCAATGTGCATGAGAGTTCATGCATAGCAATCTGATCCGACGATCGCCAAGTTGAAGAATTTAATTACACCCCGCCAATCCAAAGCAATTGTCCACAATTTCAGTTACGCCTCTTTTGTAATGTTTTGATACCCCGCAGCGTGTAATTACATTAGACACTTGCTATTCTATAACCCCGCTGCCACGAACCATGGTCTTGAAATGCTCTCATGCAGGCTCGGCTGTTTTGCTGCAGCTGGGTTGAATGCTGTGAGATACCTTCATGAGGAAGCGATAATGCGTAAAAGCATGAAGATGTTTTCATAACGTACTTGGCTATGTGAGGGCACCTATCGAGCATGATGTTGCCTTGTTCGACCACACCATCATAAAGAGAACATGGTATAATTGTTAAACCATTCCAATGAAGCGTTTGTAAATGATGGCAACGTTGACCATTGCACAGCCAGCCACCGAGACGCACAAAGTGAAAGACCCCGCACTGCATAACCACCAGAGGATACGCCGATGAGTATTTAAGTCGACCATCTCAGGACCGAGAACTGATTATGTTTCCTCAAACATACTCATCTTCATCTTTCACAGCAATAACTTCTACTAAAGTCAGATTTTTCTAGAAACTTCCACAAATCATCACTCAATATGGGCTTTCAGGGCGTTGGTACCTATGAGATCGTGCCATACCAGGCTCCATCCCTCAATCTTAATGCCTGGGATGGCAAGCTCGAACCAGGAGCAGTGGTTAGGACATAGTGAGTCTGCCTGAAAACCGCATTGACACATTACAAATGATAGTCACTAATGCCGCCGTAAATTTCAAAGTACTCGTGGTGATACACCAAGCGATAATGCTAAGTGGCAGGTAGCACTCGTCGCTGGCTCTGGGGACAGCGCTGAGTATCTGATCATCAACGTTCGCAGCGGCTATTTCCTCACCGCTACTCGTTAGTATTTCCATACTTGTTAGGGTTTGATTCACATGCTAATTCGCACTTCTAGAGGAAAGCCACGTTGTCTCCACTCCCCAAATCTCCCCGACTGATCCTTCGGCCCGCTGGACCATCAAAGCTGCTACTACACACCAGTACGAGGTCTTCACGTGAGTGTCATTCTTTTATTTTCCATGAGCAACTCAATGAACAAAGATTGCTGATCTGGAAATTATAGTATCAACAGCAAGTTGCCAGGCCGCGGTCAGCTTACCGTGAAGAACTTTTCTACTCAAAGTGGAACCGATGTCCTCTCTGCCAGTGCGCAGAATGCCGATAACCAAAAGTGGTACTTTGACGCCAAGTAAATGAATGTGAATGCCGAAATCATCTGGTCACAGGTAGCCGGATTTCAGATTGCCGGGTATCAGATTGTCAAAAGCCGCTGTATACAGATCTAGGTAGCAAATGAAATTGCAACAGTCTTTCCTTCTGAGATATGGATACCAATGTGCTCTCTTTTCGTTTAAACAGGAAAAAATTCCATTCATGATATATTCCTTCTGTGTTATGATACTCGGTGATAAATGTCCCATGTATCGAACACAATATGTTTTCAATTACAATGAGCCTTTCTTATACTGCAGATTCTTCTTGAATTTTGACGCAGAGCAAAACTATCATCTGAAATCACCCAACCAGATCTATTCTTTTAGAGTACGGAATCTGCTGATAGCTGAGTGCAATTTACTATGTGAATCGTAGTAGAAAAAAGGACATTAATATTCAGTTAAATGGCTCCTACCTTGACAGCGGACAGTTGAGAAATATCCATCTCACTACTGCTCTTATATCCTATAGTAACTGTGTACACAAAGTCCTAAACTCAAAATCGGGTATTGGTTGGCGGGAAGGGGACGGTGCAGCAACAGCCTAAGTAAGCCATCCGCGGTACTGGAATCCTTTTTCGATGGTAGATGCACCTAAAACTACTTTTTGACACGCACGAGGAGCTACATTTCCTCCTTAAATAGAGCAATTTGGAGGTTGAAGATATACATGACAAGCAATCCAGAACAGGTCCGAACTTCGCCCGAACCCTAACCCATCTGTACTTCGAACAGACTCTATCTTGATCTGGAACACACAAGAGAACCAAACACCCGGTCTTTGGGGTCCCTTTCATGTTGTGGAGTAGACAATCTCACTAGTACGGAGGTCGCACCA